GAACAAAACTAAATTTACGACAAATAAGATGATTTTAGCTTCCTAATTGTAAACTTTCCATTTCTATGTAGCATCATTCCAACAGTGCCTGTGTGAGCCAAAATTTGTTCCTGTGAAAAAAGTTCCAGTGGAACTTATATCACAGGAAATATGTTCTGGGAGAACTTTTTTCACAGATAATTTCTATATAATTTGTTCCATCTCTATAAAATAAGTTCCACACTTTACCTGGTGAAATAAGTACCGGGTTGGTGAAATTTGTTCCTTACCTAGTGAAATAAGTTCTGGGTTTATGAGATTTGTTCCTTACCTGGTGAAATAAGTTCCGAGTTTGTGAGATTTGTTCCTCACCTGGTGAAATAAGTTCCTTGTCTGTGAAATATGTTCCACTGGTTAAACAAGTTATCTTATATACTGAGCATTTGTCATCAGTCAGTTTGAAGTTATCATTCAAGTGCATTATAAAAATAAGTAGTATATTAATAATATAATAGATAAAAAGTGTAAATCATCCAGTTTGGATCCTATGGAGTATAGCAAATGTTTGATTATATATTCTGTAAAAAATATCTAAATGACACTTTTGAACCAGAAAAGATTAGAATAAGAAAAATCATTCAGAAAAAAAGTATAGTTTAAGAGGAACATATGTACTAATTTGAAAAGGACAAAGTGACTTGATCAAAAGACATGTAGAAAAAAAAGACACACTCTTTTGAAACTGTGCCATGTCCTAAGTACATGTATGACTAGAAAAGGGGCCATGGCAGTTAACAGGAACCAAGGAGGAATACCGCATAAAACATAAATACAAATTAGAACAAGGGGCCATGGCAGTTAACAGGAACCAAGGAGGAATACCGCATAAAACATAAATACAAATTATGATACATTACCATCGCTTTTATTTCTTATCTTCATCCTATAGTTACAGTCATGCCTTCAATTGCAAATGTATCCCATGCAAGTACACTCAGTACAGCATTTAGCTTGCATTATAATTTAAGTGTAACAAGAAAATGTTTCGGTGTGCAATAATGATTGAGCGGAACTTATTCATTAGTTTCTATGAAATATTTACATGTTCGTTTAAAACTAATGTCACAGGAACTTATTTAAAACTTTTTAATATTAATTGAAACAAAATTCATGGAGCTATGATTTTTGTTCCGGAACTTATTTCACATTTGGCCAAAAAATTAGTTCTGGAACAAATTTTACAGTGCTGGAACATATTTTCTGTGATATAAATTCCGGTGGAACATATTTCCTATGAAATTTGTTCCGGCGGAACAAATGTCACGCCGGAACAAATTTTTTGTTACACCTGCATATGGAGTATATTTATATTTATTTTGTTTATATTATATGATGCATGCTCATGTTCAATTTGTATTGTTATATATATTGTATTGTGGAGAAGACTTATAAGTATGTTTTACTTGTGTCTGATCCTTTTTTGCTTTGAGCAAATAAAATATGTTTAAACTAAATATGGAGTATATATCTTCTTGTTCTTGTTCTTGTTGGTCAGTCTTTAGTTTCTATGTTGTGTTTTATAGTTTGTCTTTATTTAGTTTTGTGTTATTTTGTTTTACCATGGCGTTGTCAGTTCCTTTTCGACTATCCCTTTGATATCTTTCGCCTTTATTTTACTGAGAACTAGTTCAAAACCAACTAACAACTAATAAACAATTTAAAGCATGCTTTCCTTTCAATCAGTACACACAGTATTTTAAGTACACATTTCACCGATTTGGTGTAAAGACGTCATAAACAGTCTGAGAAAAGAACTATCCAACTGTATGGACTTGTATGTGTGGAATTCTTTTTTTTTTACCGACATTTCATAATTCTAATTGTTTAAATTTAATTTACTCTATTATTATATTTGGCATAAATTTCTTTACATATTTTGTTATTACATAATTTTTTGCAAGTTGACACATGAGTGTGTAATACGGATTGATTGTCATAATCTGTGACAGTTTGGACAATAATTCCCGAATACGTGACATACATGACCTATAGCGGAAAACTAATTGCTCTTTTAATCTATTGTTATTTCTACCTGCATCTGTTAATTAATTTAAATCCCTTAATTGCATACATATGTTTATCTATTCATGTACAGAAACGGTCATAATAAACAAGTTGGGAAATATACTCACTGGTCGTCAGAATGGCCAAAGCAACATCGTCGTACCGTTTAAAAGAGAAAATTAACAATAGGGAACAAAAAATCGTTTCTTTGACGTAAATTCTGAATATTATTTGTTTATAAATAAATTTCCTTTGGTTAATTTACAGGACTCATTCTTCGTTTTTTAAAGAAAACATATGCTCAATTTAACGGTAAAGGTTTTTGAATTTATCAATTACTAATGGAATTTAGACAGTTTGGTCGGCATATAAACAGTGATGCATAACTACACAGGAACAAGTCTGCTACTAAACATATGGCAAAATCAAAGGTACTTTATTTAAATCATTTGCACCACGTGACTTTGTCCCTTTTGTTCAAATTACTTCCCTTAGCTTAAGATTGAAAATATGATTTATTATAGATTTGCGGATAATCCAGTCCTTTTCCGTCATGTATCTAAAACTAATGTATCTTTAAAAACTTCCTTTGGCGGATATTTACAAAAATGCTGTGTAATTCTAAGGGAAAATGCTTAAAATTTGACTTTTTACGAAATGGGAAGGTTGAAATCATCATGTTTTTAAAAGAATTTGGCCGAAAACTTAAGAAAGCAGGTAAGTTAAAAGTTATTTAACTATAAAATTCAACCTACAAGGTGTTTCCCTATATGCGAACAAATCATGAACAATATCTTCTTGCATGTGTATTTCTGTTTTGAATCTTGCTATTTTACGATTTTACGTCATATTATTTGATCTTATATAGCAATTACACAATGGTTACGCTTCCGATTTTTAAACTAAAAAGGCCGAAAGATTTCAGAGTAAACAATGACCATTTGTACACGGACAGAAGCCTAAAAACATGTACAATTCACCTATATGCGAACAAATTGTTCATTCGACATAGGTATTTGCATATTGGCATTTTTATTAAAAGGGCTTATATAATCCTATTGTAATGGCTGCCGTCATGATAAGGCAAAATGGCCGCTATGCAAATTAGCAAATTACCCCAAATTTTGCCATATGATAAGCGTCCAATTGGTGCCAACAGGAATACCTCAGTACAACTCGCCAATATACTTTATTGTCGACTTGTACAGAGATATTCAAGGTGTACTTTAATAGCTATAATAAAGACTCAGTATAAACGGTACATTTTCATGGTTCTCTTATGTAGAAAATATAGCTAACACAAATAAAATACAGGAAATAGACTATAAACAAGAGAAGAGTTCATTCTCAAAAAAATATTAAAAAAGAACTTAAAGATAGCTTGGAAAATATATTCAATGAAAAATTAAAATCAACTTATGAAACAAGTAAAATGTTCTTGTACAGTAAAATTAAGACAAAATATGAATTAGAGAAATACATTCTTAAAAATAATTTTGAAAATCGAAAAATTACAATTATTTCTATCTTCATTTTATATTGTGCAGCTTACTGTTCCGTTCATTAAAAAGTCATTTGCACTGCATAAATATTATCACATATTTTTTTACTATATATGATGTTTGATATTTTATAATTTTGTATATATTTGTATTGTAGTAGTGTGTATATGCCTTCAACCCCTCGGGGTATAAATATGTATTTCATTTTAATGAATAAATAAATAAATATAATCATGCATCTCAGCACACTTCCAGTAAGTCTATTATATTCACCTTTTCCAAAACTGAAGAAGGCTTTATATAAATCTGCAATCGGTCTTTTTCAAGGGACCATTTAAGTAAATAAGAAAACTTTTAAGATTGTGTCGAAGTGTTATGTTGTGTAGAAAGCCGAAAAGTCATAACTGTCAATCGAATCGAAAGGACAAAGTCAATAAAAATCATGTTATAAGTTATTAAAGAGTTTTGTACACTCCCGAAGAAAACAACTAATAATCTGAAACTAATATTGCAGACTTATATGTTTCTGCTAAAGTAATAGATAGCACCTAGTCCTATAATATATGCCTTCGCATTATATTTTCGTTATTTAACGTTTTCATGCTGATATTTTATTTTCTTTAATAAACGTATTTACACTTTTGGTATTTAACTATATTTTGCCTCCGAATGACCTTAGATCTACTCCGAATAACCTTTTGACGTCAGGCAACAATCACTTTTTAATTGACGTCAAATGTTTTGAATTATGATGTCAAAGTTTACGGGAACCTGTGTGATTTTACGTAATGGCGGACAAATTTGCTTACAAGTGTAAATACGTCTATTATAAGCGGCACATTGATAGTAAAAACAAAAAATAGTAAATTTAAAAATAAGAAATAGCAAAATAAGTAAAAAAAAAAAAAATATCAGAAATAAACAGAAACAGAAATTAATGGCCCGAAGTCATATATTATAGGACGTATTTAAGATAACACAAAGGATTTGTATAGTAAAGAAGGATTGGAATCTCGTGGACTTTTCTTACTATACAAATCCTTGATATAAACACCTAGCCGGTTCGAGAATTCCATTATTTTCATATACTTTGAATAAAAAGTAAATAACAAATTCATTAAGCAGGTCCAATCAAAAATATAGTTTTTTGACTCAATTATTGGCTAAGGATATTTTTAAAAAATAAGAAAAATCGGGTTTCCCTTTGGTTGTAACTTTTTCATGAATGACATTCCAACGGAAATGACGATTTAGATCTTTTTTCACAACATGTCGTTGTTTTATCTGCTATAATGTAGCTATTTACAGCAGAAGGGAAAAAACAACGAAAATTGAACATTCATTTCTAATCTGATAATCGTTTGCACGACGAAGTTATTTTAACTTAATTATTAAAGAAAATTGGAATCACATGACAGTAAATCGTGCAGTTCTAAAAATATCCACGCGGAGGAATATAAAAAATATTAATAGTTCCGGAAGCCATTGGGGGAAGTGTCGAGGGGATTTATACAAGTAACAATAAGTGTTTATTTCCGATTTACTAAGGAATATTCTTACATGATATAGCCACAAGGGATCATCATTTTATTCTGACTATTGATAAACATTGTGATGAAGTTACACAGTTCGTTGTGGATTACGATTTTTGGACTGTTTTTATTTGTGTCCAAATCAAATTCTGAACAGGTAATACACAAAAATGTTGACGAATTGATACACACGTGTAGATAAAGCACTTACGATCGACAGATCGTATATTTAAAAATTCTACTGAATATATTTGCAAATACTGTACCAAGAAGGGCCTTTTTGTTTATTATATGATAGTCCCATAAAAGCACAAATACAAGCCCTCTAAACAAAGCATTTTTAGATGAGTCACCATTGGGGGTGGTATATGATTTAGTACCATACATTGTGTACATGTACCCCGAAAACAACAGGGATGGTTGCATTATTTGCTTTAAGAACCCATGCTTTGAAAGATAAAATTTATGAAGAGAATTTAAGATGTAGGTTGTATGTTTAAATGATATGATCATTTGAAAAAGAAACAGAAACTTGTGTACAATAAAATCGAACTGTAAATCTTAAAACGGATCTCCTGTAGTTGGTGATCGCAATACTGGTATACCAGTATTGTCCACAATACTGGTATAAAAATTTTGTACCAGTATTGTAACTTTTTTTTAAAAAAACAGCAATACTGGTACATTACTGATATACCAGTATTGTAGCTGTATTGTTCACTATACTTTAAGGTGTATAATGAAAAATGAATTTTAAGCAAAATTAGATATTGAAGATCACAGGGAGATTAAATGAACTCAAAAAGATTATAGAGGATAATTTTGAAATCAATTAACAACCAGTTAAAAATAATTACTATAATTGTACAAATAAACAAAAGATTATTGTAATTAAATCATCTCATTCAAACAATTGTTAATTATATAAATAGTTGCTAATAATTTTATCATATTTCTATATTTTATTTAATTCAATTTAGATCAATGTAGATAAAATAAAATAAAAGCTTTATTATCTGAGTTATTATTTAATAAATTCAAGCAAATTATTACACTATAACACTGTAAATTCAGCATTTACATGTATGATCATGTATGCCATCGTATTTTTTTTACAGATATTTTAATACATGTATACTAAGATTCTAAGCATTGTTTGTCTTTATTTTCTTATCAATCTTTCACAATAAACATGATAAAAGATATCAATATCCATTAAACATAAAAAGTTGCTTAATAGGGGAACCTGATTATAATCAAATTAACTGCTTTTACTAGTTTGTCTACATGAATGTAAAGGGTAGTTTAAGCAGTTGATTCAGAACCATGGGCAATACAATTTGTAGCAGATATATCTACTGGTACAAATACTCAAATACTAATACTAGACAAGCACTCCTACAGTAAGAGAGCCGTACAGGTGCTATCTAAACAAGCTTGTAATCTAGTAAGCGTAAGAGAAAGTCCACAGACTGAATACATAAATATCAATATACATGTAGGAAGTGGGGATTGCAGAAATGCCATCTGAAGAAGAAATAAACAATAGCAATGTTGATGATACAGAAGCTATAACAGCATTAATGTCAATATAAAATTCACTAAAATATACTATTGGAAAGAGAGAGCTGGAAGAAAACATAGAAGAAAGTAAAGAGTTTGTTAAAATGCTGAGACAGTACGGTTCCCTTTAGAAAAAAACATCAGAAGATTTAAAACTTTCTTTGATTACAATCGCAGTGTACCATCAATGGCATCATCAGTTAAACATACAATCATTCCATATAAAATTGTCATGTCATATGTTAATATCATTATGCATATATATGTGACACCTTTGATAAAAGATTAATTACCTATAGGTATTGTTTATTTAAAAAAAACACAATACTGGTACAATACTGGAATACAATACTGGTACAAAATTTTTATACCAGTATTGTGCACAATACTAGTATACCAGTATTGCGATCACCAACTACAGGAGATCCCTTAAAACAAATACCACTGTTCATCTTGTTCCTTGTGTATTTGATTTTCTTTAACTTAGGAAACTGTTTTTTGATTAGTGGATGTTTTACCAAAGTTGAAAATTTTCAGTTACGGCAGCTGAAAGTGAAACCTTGGTATAAACAAAAAAAAACCCAATGACATACTTGTATACAAATGTAAAGTTCTGTAATTGCCAGAGGTTGATTTCCTTAAACATGATCTAAATATTGATACAATTTTAAAACTCAATTGGATATGATGCTTTAAGGAAATCTATACTCAACTAAGTCTATTTTAATGAAGTTTTACATTGTTATAATCATAATTGTGTTTCTTTCCATTCTGAAGGATTATAAATTATAATGGTTGTGTGTTTTTGTCTCTCCTACATGGTTTTTGATCAGTGTTCAAATGAACTAGATAAACACAAACAATGTTTTCCGTGTATAGTAATTGAATTAAAAAGGTTTTTGTGAAATTATCTATATGTTTTGCCATCTTTCACCCCTTTCATTCATATAAATTTTTCAAGAAGGCATACTAATAATAATCTAATAATTTCATTTTTGTCTTTATTCATGTATAAATGCAAGTCGGAGATTTCCTTTCTGTAATGATAAAAAATAATTATACTGTTATTCTGTAAGCCAGTACAAAATATGATTTAAGTGTTTTTCCAGAATCAATATAGAAACATAAAACATCTTAACGGCTTAGGAACCAATGCTATGTGCAAGTTATTTAATGTTATTCAGTCATTAATAGATTTCTAGGATGAAGAAAAGAAAAATAGTCTTACAGATGTACATTTTTACAATGTACAGGGTTCTCACTAAGGCGAGTCCATGAGTCCTGGACTCATGAAAATCTGTCTGGACTCACCATTTTTAAAACTGGTGAGTCCAAAGATGCATCAAGATTAAAATATTTTGTATAAACTGCATGAACACACATATCATTTTATACCAAAAGTTTAAAAGTAATCTAAATTTAATGTCATTTCATTGCCCTATTAGGTCATGGAGACTAAAATGATAAATTACATTGCAATAAAGTATCTTCTTCTTACTGTTGGACTCACCATGGCCAAAAATGATAAGTCCTTGGACTCGCCTTCAAAAGTCATTAGTGAGAACCCTGCAATGTATATATATATATATATTCATACCACACACAAAAAAAGTTCCTTAAGTTATAAAGTTATAGCCATTTTTTAATGGGAAATATAAATTGTCAGTTGTATACATTTATTGGTTTGAAAATCTGGAAGATTCTTATACATATTGTATATTCAACATATAGCATACATATTTATTGTCTTTCCATTTATAAAGTATTAGATATATAAAGATCTTCTCAGTTAAAATGAAATAAAACAAATTTCTGAAAATGGTTGATTACATATATATGTAAGATTAAATGGAAGGTAGATTTAAAATATATTGGAATTCTGATTCACAAATGATTTTCCTACAAATACAGGAGAAACCTATTATACACTGTCACGTATATTTCACACACAGAAACATAGATTCACTTCAAAGAAATACCCCATAAATTCCATTGTTATCGGATATATCCGGTAAAACACAAAAGTCTATAACACCCTAAGGTTTTTTAAAACCAATCAAATAAATAGATTTGAAAACATTTTCCTTTTGACCCTAAACAATACCCAAATGACTCAATTTAGGTATAAATGTTAGTACAAGTATGTGCTGGTAATATTATACTTAATTATCTTGTGACATAATTGTATAAAGATTTTAATTATACGATCATAAAGACAATTAAATTGTTATAAAATATCAATTAACCTTGCCTGTCTTATGAGGTTAGACTGTTTATTGGTAATTGTGTAATGTATAATAGCTCTTAGAGATAAGTGTGTGTAGTAAAGGAGGATGTTTACATGCCCCCAAACACCTTAAACACATTGTTTGATCTTATACAAAACCCAGGGGTGATATATGTATATTGTAATATTTCAAATTTCCCCTACTCAACACATGAAACATGAAATGTACAATTTAATTTTACATTTTATACATGAGATTTGTATGGTGTTTAAACACGTAATGTAAATATTGTTTTAAAATGACTAAGGAATACATCTCTCTGTTTAAATGAAATGTTTTAAATCAAAAATATTTTTAAAATCCAAATAATTAAATAAGTCGGATAGAATTAAGGGAGAGACAGTAATAAATACTGTATATAAGAATATTTATTATTCCAATCAAGGGCCCTTGATGGGCAGCATAACATGTACACATGTATATAGGTATGTCTATCGGGAGTTACAGCATACATGTACATTCTGTTGCTCATTATTGAAGGCCATACAGTGACCTACAGGTATACACTTCTACGTCTCTTGGGAGAGTTGTCTCATTGAATTGGCAATCGTACCACATCTTCTTATTTTTATAAATGTAAATGTATACATATGTTTTTATCTAATTAAGATAATTTTAAAACCAGAAGCATTCTTTATGATACTTTGGGCGTTAAATAAAGCAATGCAGAAATTAAAGTAGTGTTAAAGTCATTAACTTTCCAAAAAACTGCTGTGCAACCTGTGAAAATTACGTAACTTTCATAAATTGTTTTAGCCAGCTTTTTCTTTGATGTCTTGGATATACATAATTCAATAAACCATTTAGACATTGTTTTCAAGCTAATTAATTTGGGATATTTTGATATACATTTTTTGTAGCTGGTTTTTTGTTCATATTAAAGCAATTTGTAATTGATCTCTTTTAATTGTTACATTAGTAATTTCTGATGTCTACAGAGATTACTTAGTATTTGAAGAGACAACAGATAATTTTTCAAACGATTGATCAGTTTTATTTTAAATTGGTTGCCCTGTGTTTGCTGCCTCTGTTAAGCATTTTCTTAAAGGATATACATGTATAGAAATATCTACTAGTACAGGGATGATTGGTGTGATCTCTCACAAATATTCATTTATTCTCTGTTTTGAAGAAGGGTTTTCCTTCGAAAATAATATGCAATACCCACAACCTTCAGTTATTTTTTTTTGCCTAGCAATCAAAACATGAACAAAGTTTCTTTTTCTTATATGAAAATTCATTTGAACTCTTTTTCTGCTTTTAATTTATAGTCAAATATTGGATCAACCACACAGAAAGACATGTT